CCCTAGAACCAACCTTCAACCCCAGGCTGTAATAGCCATAGAGCCAGAAATGACTGACTGGGAAAGGCAAGCCTGAGCCAGCCTGAGTCTTTGGAGACTGTCTGGCACTTATCTCAGGCTGCCTTGCATCCCCTACTGTTTACCTCAACCCTTGACCAGACTGACAACCTCTAGTTGGAATATGTTTTGTCCTGCTAGGCCCTGGCTTCAGGAGGGCAAGGATATGGGAGTCTCTCTGAGGCCCTGGCACACAGTCTGGCAGAAGGTAATTGCTTTGGTAACCCATCAGGCTGCTGCTCTAGCTCAGCATCCTCAGAGCTGTAGAACCTGCTTCCTGCTCTTGCTTCACCCTCTCTGGATCAGCGAAGAAAACCTCGGGCCTGCTACATTTTCACATTGCTCATGGGACTCTGCGACAGTGGCAGAGGGAACATCCTAGCTTGTGTGTGACAGGCCGTGCATAGGCTTCTCTGACACAGACTGTACGAAGGAAGAGACCCACTCCTGGCCTGATGGGAGGACTGCTGCCATGTTCAGCTCTGCTGGGAGACATGAACAAGTAGGTAAGCATGGCTGCCCTTACAGCAGCTACTCCAGTCTCTGGCCTGCTCGCAACTGAAAGACCCACTTCACCCACTCCCCAGGCTTCAGCGTTGTGATGTGAGGAACAACAGCAGGCCGGGTGGCAAGCTAGGCAAGCAGGCTGTGGGGGCGAGCTGGCTCAGCAGTTGATGTGGGTAAGAGAAGCAGGCACAGGATGCTGCCCACACTTTTTTTTTTTTGTTTTTGCCCAGGCGGAGTGGTGAGGTAGTGGGGGCTGTGGTGAGGAAAGAGGAAGTGACACTCCTACAGGCTGGTAGGATAGCACTCAAACTGCCTGATTAGAAGAGTCCTGGTGAGACTACCATAGGGCCCAGCTGTGGACAGGTTCAGCCCTGAAGTCCTGCACTGTGGAATACAGCAGTGGGAAATGTCTGATGCAGTTTTTTGAGTCTTCCCTGGAGAATGTGTAGGAAATGAAATCTACAGTTAATGGGTAGGAAAGGGGGTCTGGGGCCAGGTGCAGTGGCTCATGCCTATAATCCCAGCACTTTGGGAGACCAAGATGGGTGGATCACTTGAGGTCAGGAGTTTGAGACCAGCCTGGCCAACATGATGAAACCCCATCTCTACTAAAAATATTAGGTGTGGTGGTGTGTGCGTGTAATCCCAGCTATTCAGGAGGCTGAGGCAGGAGAATCACTTGAAGCCAGGAGGCTAGAGGTTGCAGTGAACTGAGATTGCACCATTGCACTCCAGCCTGGGTGACAAGAGTGAAACTCTCTCCAAAAAAAAAAAAAGCCGGCGGGGGTAGTGGTGGGTTCTGAGAGCCTCTCAGTTGAGTTAATTATACAGGTTTTACCATTGACTCTGCGACCTGTTGGATATTCTTTTTGGCTGCAATTTTGGGCTGTCAGTTGCCTGGTAAGAGAATTCACATAAATTATAAAGTAGGAGTAAATCAGGGAAGGGTCAAGTAAAGCTGAGGTCATGAAGGTGGCTGCCTTGTAATTCAACAGATACTTCATGAGCACTTGAGCTTTGGTACGTTCTAGTTGACAGCATAGTAGTTGTTTTTGAGACAGAGTTTCGCTCTTGTTGCCCAGGCTGGAGTACAATGGTGCGATCTTGGCTCACCGCAACCTCCGCCTCCCAGGTTCAAGCGATTCTCCTGCCTCAGCCTCCCAAGTAGCTGGGATTACAGACATGCGCCACCACACCTGGCTAATTTTGTATTTTTAGTAGAGACAGGGTTTCAACATGTTGGTCAGGCTGATCTCAAACTCCCGACCTCAGGTGATCTGCCTGCCTCAGCCTCCCAAAGTGCTGGGATGACAGGCGTGAGCCAGCATGCCCGGCCCCATTTTTGTGTGTGTGTGTGTGTGTTTTTTGAGACAGTCTCACTGTGTTGCCCAGGCTGGAGTGGAGTGGCACAATTTCCGCTCACTGCAGCTTCCACCTCCTGGGTTCAGGTGATCCTCCCACCTCAGCCTCCCGAGTAGCTAGGACCACAGGCATATATCACAATGCCCAGCTAATTTTTTGTATTTTTTTTATAGATACGGGGTTTCACCATGTTGTTCAAGATGATCTCAGACTCCTGAGCTCAAGTGATCTGCCTGCCTCAGCCTCCCAAAGTCCTGGGATTACTGGCGTGAGCCACTGTGCCTGGCCAAGATGACAACATAGTCTTTTTGGATTAGATGAACTAAGCTGCTTATTAAACAGCAAGCCCTAGGGCCCTAACTTTATCCAGCTAATTCTAGCTTTACAGAAATTTGCATTCAAAAGTAAGTGAAAAAGTCACAGTGTACATCTGTAATTCCAGCTACAGGCTGGGAGGACTGCTTGAACCCAGCAGTTTGAGACTAGCCTGGGCAAAACAGACCCTGTCTCATTACTTTTTATTTTTATTTTTTTGAGATGGTGTCTCGCTATGTCGCCCAGGCTGGAGTGCAGTGGCACAATCTCAGCTCACTGCAACCTCCGCCTCCCGTGTTCAAACTATTCTTCTGCCTCAGCCTTCTGAGCAGCTGGGACTACAGGCGCGCACGACCACATCCAGCTAATTTTTGGATTTTCAGTAGAGACAGGGTTTCACCATATTGGCCAGGCTGGTCTCGAACTGACCTCATGATCGGCCTGCTTCAGCCTCCCAAAGTGCTGGGATTAAAGGTTTGAGCCACCATGCCTGACTTTTTTTTTTTTTTTTTTTAAGTGAAAAGACCACCCTTCCAGTATCTCAAACCCATAGCCTACAAGTAAGTACATGGTGGCGCACGCCTGTAATCCTAGAGAAGCTGAGGTGGGATTATCACTTGCATCCAGTTTGAGCCAGTCTGGGCAACAGACCCTGTCTCTACAAAAAATAAAAAGTTAGCAGGGTGTGGTGGTGCATACCTGTGGTCCCAGCTACTCGGAATGCTGAGGTGGGAGGATCACTTGAGCCCAGGAGGTCAAAACTGCAGTGATCACACCACTGCACTCCAGCCTGGGTGACAGAGTGAGACTCTGTCTCCCCCCGCGCCCCGCCAAAAAAAAACTAGTGTGGTGGCTCATACCTGTAACCCCACCACTTTGGGAGGCTGAGGCAGGTGGATCACTTAGAGTCAGGCGTTCAAGACCAGCCTGGCCAACATGGTGAAACCCCATCTCTACTAAAAATACAAAAATTAGCTGGGTGTGATGGCGCATGCCTGCAGTCCCAGCTACTTGGGAAGCTGAGGCAGGAGAATGGCTTGAACCCAGGAGGTGGAGGTTGGAGGTTGCATTGAGCCCAGACCGTGCCCACTGCACTCTAGCCTGGGTGACACAGCGAGACTCCATCTCAAAAGGAAAAAAAAGTGATGGTAGAGACTTCTGTTTCCTGGCCAAAAATTCTCTCACTGGGGCTCACCCAGGCTGAGAACTAGGGAAACTGCAAAGAAAACATAGTCCTGATTATGTGCAGGCTTACAAGGTAGAGCTAAAACTAATCCACTGGAAGGTAACAAGAAACAGCAATAGGTATCCTTTTTTTTTTTTTTCCTTTTTTGAAACAGGGTCTTGCTGTCACCCAGGCTGGAGTGCAGTGGCGTGATCTCCACTCGCTGCAAGCTCCGCCTCCTCCCGGGTTCACGCCATTCTCCTGCCTCAGCCTCTGGAGTACCTCGGACTATAGGCAGCCGCCACCATGACCGGCTAATTTTTTGTATTTTTAGTAGATACAGGGTTTCACCGTGTTAGCCAGGATGGCCTTAATCTCCTGACCTTGAAGTCTGCCCGCCTCGGCCTCCCAAAGTGCTGGGATTACAGGCGTGAGCCACCACACCCAGCCAACAATAGGTATCCTTAATCCAAGCTGTACAGCAATTCATGATTCACAAGTCTCTTCTGTAGAAAACATTTAATAATAGGGAGGTGATGGAACAACAAAGCAAAGGCAGTGTTGGGGCATCAGACCAGGGCAGGGCTGGAACTAGGGAGAAGCAACCAGTTAGGAGGCAGGCTACTACAGGTAACAAATGGAGAGCCCTCTCACCCAGCCAACTCCAAGAGTTCCTCTAGTCCCTCGTGCTTTACCCCAGACTTTAGCCCCAGAGCCTGTTCCTCATCTCCAGCAAAGAATAGCAGGGCAGGACCTGAGTTGGTCTCTTTTCAGGGGCTGTCTTGAAGATGGCTGTTTAAGCAGACACGAGGCTGCCCAAAGGTTTCTACAAGCCACCCTGCGTGGACTTTGGGGGTTGTTGAATGCATGCTCTGACATCCATTAATTGGAGACCTGGATCTAAACATGGGTTAGCTGCCCATCCTGGCATCTTTGGCTAATACCCTTAGCCTGGGTGCCCCTGAGAATGATACTTTGGGCTGCTGAAGATCCTGTCTGAGGAACCTCACATGGGTTTCCTAGTTAACTTGTAAAGTCACTCTGCCAGAGGTTATCACCGCAAAAAGCAGGACCTGGTGGGCTGGGCTCTCCATACCCTTCCAGCTCTGACTGCCTGGCATAAATGTTCCTCTTGAGATGGATGTGTGTTGAGGTGCAGGGAGAGCGCTGGGCTGTGGCTAGGGATAGGGCAGGCAGGATTTGCTCTTGGTCACACTGGAGGGATGCCCAGACCACACCCGGGCACTGGAGCAGTTCTGGGATACAGTGTCTGAATCCTCAGTGGCCACTGCTCTCTTGGCCCTGACTGTGCAAGGGAATCACGAACACAGAGACGTCATCGTAGGACACCTGCCCTTCCTCTGTGGGACTGTCTTCCTTTCCCTGCGTGCTGTGTATCAGCATCTGGGCCAGCTTCAAGAACCTGTGAAGACCATCCTGCAGATAGACTTCAGGGGCAGAGCAAAGGGGCAAGGCCAGCCCTCAGGAGAACTCACTGCACAAGGCTGGACATGGGGACCCAAGCAGTGCAGTCCGACTGGGGACCAAGCAAGCAGCAAGCCTGGAAGGGCCATGGGCTGAACCACAAGAGGCTATATCCAGGGATTTTTGGAACCCTAGTCTCCCCTCCTCCTCCAAGAAGCTTGAGACAGCCCTGATCCTGGCCAGCTGCCAGCTCATTGTCAGTGCTATCTTCTCAGCCATAACTACTTGGGCTTGCTGCTGGCACCAACCCAGGCCCAGGCAGGTCCCCAGCAGCTACAGTACCTGTGTGGGTCCTCTTGGTTCCCAGGGAGGAAGCTCCGCACCAGCCATGCCACCTGCTCGTTGGACAGGACATCCCAGAGTCCATCAGTCGCCATGACAACCACATCATCCTCCTGTAGCTCCAGCTGGCCCACATCCAGCACAGTCACCTACAAGTTAAGCCTGAGGATCTTGCACACTCCCTTCCCGACTCCCAACAGCCTCACTGTCCGCCTTTCTGGGCAAATGGAAGCTGGGTTGGACAGCGTTTCCCCCCTTACCTGTGGGACAGAGAGCAAGAAGGGCTTGAGCTGGATGTTCGTGTCTAGGACTCTGAGCTGATGGTCTCCCAGCCCCCGGGAGACAGCCAGTGTTCCTAGTAACCGAGCCTGAGGGAAAGTGAGGTGTGAGGTGATGGCAAATGGCTCCAACAAATGCACAAGTACCAGGCCCTAGCACTGCAGAGCACACAGGGAGAGGTGGACTGTGGCCCTTGGAAGCCTTAGACTGAGAAAATTCCTGGACTCAGAGCAAATCCCAGGCCACCAGCCACAGCTACCAGCAAGAGGCAAAGAAAGGAGCTCCTACCTCTGCAGGGGACAATGAAGAGGGATTCTTGGGGTTAGGGGGTGCCAGGCACTGACCTGCCTACCCTGTCCATGGATCAGTGGGTACTTGAGATCCGATTTCTCCACACGTTTGTAGCTCCTACCAGAAGCAGAGCCAGCATCCATGCAAGCCCTGTGCCCCATCTCATCTTTCCCCAACTCAGGGCCCAGCTATCACACCCTCACAGTGCCCACCCTGCCAAGGTAGAGGGGGGCTGCCCCAGGCCATACAGCTGGGACTGGATCCCAGGGGTCTCCCTTCCCACCTGTCCACCATCCCCACTCACCAACCACTCATGTGGTGATCCCTGAACAAAACCTTCTGTCCCAAGTCATCCCCCTTCAGCCGCCGAGGGAACTCCAGTCGGGTGAACTCGCCAGCCAGAAGCTCAGGGTAGACAAAGGCCTGGGGTGGGGAGGCTGCACTCAGGTCATACTCACTCTTGTGGCCCTGGACCCAGGAGTTGGGGCTTCACAGCCTCCATGCTGCCAAGGGCACCTACCAGCTGCTGGATCCGCTGCCGCTCAGTCTCTGGGGTGAACTCGAAGCTCAGTGGCCGTATCTCATCTCTTCGCACCAAGATGGCCCTGGATTGAGGAGAGAAGGGAGAGGTCTAGGAGGGGGGCTCCACCCTCACCCATGGCCACCCTCCTACCAGTCCTTCCTCCAACCACCACGACCCAGCTCTGCCCATGATGATTCCTTAAAGCCCTCCATGACTACCTAAGACCTGCAAGGGTGAAGGCTTAGCCCTTTAGCAGGGCCCCTGAGGTCCCCATCCTCCCCAGCAGCTACTGTCCACCCTCACACTCAACACATACCAAATACACACAATTCAGCCAGTCAATCCTTCCTACTATCCCTCCACTTCCAGCCACCTTTGCTTGTCCCCATTGCTGCTTGTGCTCTCCCCATCCCACCCTTGCCCACCTTCCAAGGGGTGACTCACCTGCTATCCCCAGCATTGGCCACGTACAGCTTTCCCTGCAGTGACACAGCCACCAGGGCTGTGCAGCCGCCCACCTGGCCTGAGGCCTCCAGCTCCCGCCCGATCACCTCGTCCTGGGGCAAACCAAGGCCACCTTAGCTGCTGCCTGTTCTGCCACCATACTACTTTGTCTCTCGATCCCCACCCTACCCGACAGTTCACTTCTACTAGCAGGCCTGACAGTCGCAGCCCAAAGTCCAGCCATGCCTCCAAGATCCCTGCAGTCAGGAGATCTAGACAAGGGAAGTGCTACTCAAAATAGGAAGAGAAACCAGCCACTGCACCAAGAACCAAAAGGGTATTCAATTAGATGATGCAGGTAAAAGCACTTAGCACACAGTAGGCGCTGGATAAAATGAAAGGGGTTATGCTGACAGTGATGGCTGTTAGTAACAACCCAACCAACCCAATCTCATCCTCCCAATCCAAGGATCTGGTGTGATGACCATGGGTATACAGAGATGCCATTTCCCGAGATCCCTAGGGGCAAAATCTCCACTTCTTTCCCAGCCAAAAGCCACACACTCACACATTCCTGAAAGGCACTCTCCAATGCCCCGATCACCAAGTCTTCTGCCCTGATGCCCTTTTCCTCCACAAACTGAGGGTCACTGGGGCAGATGCAGCGGCCATTGAGGTGCATGGGGGGCTGAGTGGCCACCAAGCCCTCTACCACGGCCTCCAGCTGCCGGCGCAAGCAGGAGTGCAGGGTGTTGGCAGCCAAGATGGCTGCTGCAGGACCGCCGTGCCCATCGAACAGTGCCCAGTAATGGCCTGTCAGGAACTGCACAGGAAGGGCTCAGTGTCAGCCTCTGCCTGACTTCCCCAGTTGTCCCCTGACCCACCCTGAACTAGAACATGGGACAGCAGGGTAAGAACCTCAGCCTGCAGGTCGTGGCCCCAGCCTGTAGGAGGGATTCCAGTCAAGAACTCAGGCTGCGCTCACCTCCTCTGGGCACAGGGTCAGCCACTCTTCTTCAGCCCCAAATTCACATCTCCGGATGCACAGCTTCCCACAGGCGGCTTGATCCTCATTGAATTCAGATTTCTCTGCATTGATAATCCTGAGGCCAGGAAATGGTAAGCGACCCTCCAGGGACACACCTATGTCCCCATGGGCACAGGGAGAGGACCCCTCCCTCTGGGGCAACAGCTCCCCAGTGCTGTCCCTAACACACACTTAAGACAACCACGATGTAAGCTTCCTAACTTCAGTGGCCTCATGGTTAAGGTAAAAGTCAGGGCCCAGCTCCTCTGGAGCCTACCTGGTGACCCTGGGCTAGAAGGTAAGGGTATGTTGCCATTCCTGTCCCCTGCCCTGTCGCAGCCCAAAGCCCTGTCCCATACGCGCAGGTCATACCCAGGGTGAGATGGTGGGGGTAGGGGGCGAGGGGAAATCTCCAAAGTCCCGAATGCTGGAACTCTACCGAGTCTCTGGGCCTCATCTTGGAAGCCCCTGGGCTGCAGGTCCTTCCCGACCTCCTGTCTTCTCTGAAGGGGAGGTCGGAATCCCAAGGAAAACGCAGGGTCGGGATGATGGGGACGTTGTCAGGATTCCGAGGAGAGGGCAAGAAGGGGCTGTCCACAGGTGGGTGGGGGCTGTCACTCACTCAGCTTCTCCCGCTTTCTAGGCCGGCGCAAGACCCGAGGCGGGCTCCGGTCCGGGCCCGAGCCAGGGGTCGGGGAGGGGCACTCACTCGGCGTAGCCTGCATTCCAGGGC